TTAAACAAATTTCAACTAAATCGTAATTGCTAATACATATTGCAGTATCTCAATGAATAATCTCCATTATGTAGCTGTGCGCTAATATATTTAATCAGTTTATAGCTTGAACTATTTTTTATTGAAATCCAAGTAGCTTTGTATTATGAAATCTACGTTAGAAATGAACATTATTGTCGTTTCATTTTCCATTTTTTTTTCATTCATTTTATCTATTTTATTTTTAGTTTTTTATTTTAAATGCTGAAGTTTGTATTTTATTTTTCAGAACATATCGTTATTAGAAGAAAGTCGCTTAAGAGGCAAGACGGACTTGTTCAAACATAACATCAAATATATGATTTATGAAGCTAATTGTGAGCTGGATCCTGGCAAAACCAAGCAGATAATAGATTTCATGGATGGACGTAACCGTCGTCGTAAAAAAATTCTTCGCGCATTGCGTAATCGAAATAGTTTGTTTTTCTTTTGCTGTTTTTTTCAAAAATTTAAAATTTTCAAGTTATCTTCAATACGCTGACGCTATTTAATGATATTGAATATAATCTGTGATATTAAATCGTCTAGAACATTTTTTCTATGAATAGTGATAAGACTTTGGGTGAGAAATATAGTTAAAGCGATCTTATACTTGCAAATCATTTCCTCTGTGTATTTGATACTTAGATGGAGTGCGAGATCATCGACGGAAGTTCAAAAAGTCCAGTAATAAATCAGTATTTACGGATGAAGATTTTATGAAAATCGGACCTGACAGAATAAAGGTAGACTCTCATTCTCACATTTCATTGTCGTTACGTTTTACTTCGTATCTATCTGAAGTTAAAAAGTATGCGAATGCATTCAATACTTATTAAGATTGCCAGCTAAAGTATAAATTAAATGTTACAGTTACTACGAGGAAAGAACGTGAAGAAAATGCAGTCACTTGAAAAATCAAAAGAATAACTGTTTGTGGATAACGCGACGTTTGCGTGCTTCAGTTTTCTTATAGGTCGTGCAATAATCACCAGCATTGTAATGATTATAATCTTTTGTTGAGTCTTTCGTTTAAAGCTGCATTTGTATTTGTGTAAATGCAGAAAACCAAGAATGGAGAATTTTTTTAGGGACATATATAAATTCAGTGATTTATTTTTACTTTGTTACAAGTTTAGATATTAAATCGTAATGTTAAGAATTTTTCAAGTGTCGATTTGCTATGAATTTTTTTTTTTTGCAACAGAAGTTACTAATTTCATGAAATTTTTGATTAAAAAATAAATTTGCAATGTGACGTGAAATTTACAGAAGTCAAAGATTGGAGTCAAAGTATTTGATTAGTCGACAAATAAGTTAATTAATGAATTTTGTATTAATAAAATATGTTAAGATCTATTGTATTTTCGAAAATTACATGTATCGCAAAATGATAATATTTATTCGTAGAAAAAAACTGTTCAATGGATCAAAAGCGATTGCTAATCAAGCATCAGTAACTGAAAACTAATTAAATGCTATTTGAATTTAGTAATGAAAATTTCAGAAAGATGAGAGAGATGGAAGTTTAAAATTTTGATTAATCAAAATTTAAAAATAAAATATATTGTTTACACTACGGAGCAATTTGTTTTTCACATAATAGCACGTTCGTTCTCAACATTTCATATCATCATTTCTACGTGTTTCTGAACGGTTGGTCATTTTATTCAGAAGAAAGGGAAACGAAAAATCAATAATGGGAGACGAATATGAACAATTGGGTCCAGCCGGTTTGTTATATAAATCATTTGCATTTATTATTGATTCCTTAAATAATTTTTGCTATTTTTTGGAAGATGAACTGGCTAAATCTGTTACTGTGTTACTGTAAATCTTTTAATTGTTTGATATGTAAGCATGATGTGATACGAAAGTAAGTAATTATCTGTTAAATGACGTAAAATTACGTTTCAGTATAGGTTATATTCTTTTAATATCAACAAGAAATTCAGTGTAATTCAGTGTAAACGAAAGCATAAACTCTTCGTTGAAATTTATTTAGTTTTCTAAATTTCATTTTGCAAAAAAATTTTTGAAGATTTCGTTTTTTTGCAGTGAAACAGTAGAATAATTAAGTAGCGGAATGTTATTAACTTGCTTCCAAATTAAAAATTTTCATTTTAACTAATTTGATAATTTTTTAAAAATTTCACATCCTTTTATTTCCTTCTCTTGTTACAAGTTCTTTTCACTTTTGCAGCAGCGTCGGCACCATTTCCAGCTCAATTTTCTTCATCACAACCTCAAGCACTTCAATTTTCTCCAGCTACATTTTCACAACCTCCGCCATCACCTGATGAGCGAACCCAACAATTAACTTTTGATGGAAAAAAAGTAAGTATGGATTTTTGAACTTTTCCTCTTTTTTTGCATTCTTTTCTTTTTAATAATAAATAAGTTTGATAGATTAAATGTAATTTCATCATTTGTCCGTTTTATAAATTCTTTTTCTTTCTTAGCATTACTTAATTTTTAATTGTGAAATAATGCAATCATTTTTCCTTTATTTCATTTTTTTTGCAGCTTACACATATGTTATTAGGCAGATATTGAATGGTAAATTAATAAAACATTAGAAGGTTTTCAATTTAATTTAAAAATTATCATCATTGTTAATTTCAAACTTTCAGAGCGAAGTCGACAATAAAACAAAGAAAAAAAGTATTGTATTTAGTGAAATAATTTTTTGTTAATTTGATTTTATATCTTCTAAAATGTATCAAAAGAAAAAAAAGAAGGGAGGAGAATGAAAAAATTAGGAAAGGTGGGAAAAAAAGGGAAGAACAAATGATAAAAATTGTTGGAAAATCATAAAAATTCTTTTTTCAAAAAAAAAAAAAGAAATCGTTGTATGTTTTTATTATCAATATATTCTTATGTAAATAATACAAATAACAATCAATTATTTCTCTTTAACTCATTGGCTACTATTTGGCGTTTTCCATTGAATATATAACTCTATATCGAATTAAATAATTAGATGTTATCTTGACCAACAGTTAAGTTTTTTCTTTTTTTTTTTAAACATGCAATTCGAATTAAATTAAAATTTTTCTTTCGGCAGACGATGAAGAGGTGGAACAAGATGCAGATAGTGTTCGTTGTTTGGTAGCAACCATTGTTCTATTTATAATGATATTCATTGGTATCTTATTGGTTATATTTTTAATTGTATTATTATCTACAAAATGTTTCGGTCATCCGGCATGTCCATGGCTTAAAGTTTTCAAATTATTTTAAAAGTTATATGGAAAATCTACTTGACTACCAATAATTCATAACATTTACAACGATATATCTGATATTTTTATATGTATAATTTGAAATAATTTATAAAGCAATGTTTTGAAATTACAATTTTAACTTAAAAGAAATAAACAAATAAATTCCTAATGATTCATTTGTACGGTGCTATTAATCTCAATGTTTATCATTAACCTAATTTAACCATTTCATCCAACATAATAAATTGTTAATGACGTTTCGAAAACAAACGATTTTTCATAAATATGCATTGGAATGCTGTATTCTTCTCATCCTAGCTATCTTAATTATTCATTTTGTTAATTTCGTTAAAACCTTAGTATGAAATCTTGTTATCATACTATTATTACAATGTGATAATAATGGATAGCCATCTAGCAAACTTGAAAGTGTTAATAATTTGCCTAAGCATTAAACAAAAATTCCAACAAATTTCATTTCCTCTCAAATTCAGTTAATCTGTTAAATCTTATAAATTCTCCTGCTCTTATAAAAAAAATTAATATAAAATGATGAAAATGAATGCAAGTTTGTTGAAGTTTACAAATCACTATTTATTAGCATAAATTGCTGTGTTCACTTTATCTAAAAAAAAATTTTTTTATCTAGCAATATAAGACTAATCATATCAATAAATCACTTCTATCACAACAGTAACAGTATATCTTGGATAATGGAAAATAGGATTAATATGAGAGGAATAAATATTTTAATGCCAGTTGAAAGAACGGAAAATGTTAACTATAGAGTATGCAAATCAAAATAGATGTTTGTTGAAAGAGATAGACAAAATAGACAGTTCAGAATACTAATACGGAATTCAGAATTCAGTACCAGAAAATACTTGTAAAAAATTCATCACAAAAATAAACAACTTAAAAATGAAATTTAAATAACAAAAAAATATCAAAATATACAATGTTTACTGTTTTACACAATGATAATAACTATCTAATATTTCAGATAATATAAGACAAGCATTATTTTTGAAGTTAGTGTTACTATTATTGTGGAAGAGTAATTATGATAATCATTCAAAATAAGATAACATCGTAATTTTTGATCTGATAAATAGAGAATTCTAATTTTTCAATTTTCTTATATATGTTTCCTCTTCTGCATATTTATGTAAGCCTAATATTTTTGAAGACCACGTAAATGTTTGGGCAATTCTTAATACGCATTAAAATTCAGTAAAGTTTTCGCCGCAAAATTATTTAACAGGCAAAGTATACAATACACACTAAAATACTTGTTGTAGCCTGATTTCATCGCTATTATATTATGGATAAGTGCTACAAGAATAAAAAAAGACACAATCCTGAAAATTTTAGACAGAAGAAGACAATCCAAGATCATTCTGTCTGACTAATCAAAATTAACTGTACTACGGCATTTTATACATCGGCATAGAGATAATAATGCTTTAAAAAAATGCTTAAAAATGCTTAAAAATTCCACTAAATGATGACCAAAAAATAAGCTGAAATCAGGCTTAGTGATCATACACAATGTTCACAAATTCCACATAATCCGCAAAAAATTCTAATGATAGAAGTGTTCCTAATTAAAGTGCCTTAATTTTCTCATAAGGTAGAAGTTGACAATAATAATCCTCTGGTTCAGCAGTTTTTTGAAGCAAACATACTTGTTTTAATTTTGGATTCTGTATAATATTTTTAAAATACGTACATGGCTTATCACCATAACCGGGCATTAATAAATCAAAAAATGCTGTACCATTTTCAAGTGGTGCCAACGAATGAATATTACCAAATTTAGGACCCAAACATACGCAATCATCACTACGCCAGCGATTACTGATACCTTCGAATCTGTAAAATTTACGCTTATATTTATGAAATGTCATTTAAAAAGAATGAAACACCGACAAAAAACAAAAGCTTAAAATTCCTCTTTTTCTGCTCAATCCAACATTCAATAAATATCACATAATATAAAAATGAAAACAATTCAATAGTTTCAAAGAAAGGTCAAAGTACATGTCTTCGAAACTTCTAAAAATCAGTCAAGTAATCAACAGAACAACTGATATCAACTATGAAACTATAACAGTTATTAACTTTTTAATTATGAAGAATGGTTTAATAGCTTAGCAACGTGAGCCATTCTTAGAAGTAGACGTATGATGAAGTCGTTGTAGAAAGACGTGTTTTAGCGAATACCTATACAATAGCAAGAAAGAAAATTCGAAAATTTTAGAGATAAAAATCACACCTGGCAATGGTAACGTTAGATGATAGAGCGTTCGATTTAGTCCATTTCAGTGCTTCTTTTTCATCATAAGAAAGTTCGGTATATGAGTTAATTCCTAGGGCACCACGAAGAACTTTCACAAATCCGTACATATCCGGATGATCGTGTAACGGGAACAGAAAATCACAGCTTTTGAAGCCAAATAAGCAAGCATGAATATGCTCGGATTCATAAATATCAATG